CTGGTGTGTTACGCCGAAAGGCGGTTATTACGGCTATACAGATACAGAAGCTGGTGTGTTACGCCGAAAGGCGGTTATTACGGCTATACAGATACAGAAGCTGGTGTGTTACGCCGAAAGGCGGTTATTACGGCTATACAGATACAGATACATAGACCGAGAATGAGTTGAGCAATTTGTTACTTAAGGGTACGGCAGCCTTGTTTTGGGGTGACTCACCTCTGGACTTGTGTATATGTTTTTCCGATAAGAGTAGGTTGACAGCTCTTGGGTGGAGGAGATTGACAGGCAGAACGAGAGGCCGTCTAGGGTCACAGAATCTGCCCGATAGTCGGAGGGCGACGTTTTAGAATGTAGCCAATTGCGGGGATGATATCCTTCCGAGAAGTCTGAAATCTCCGTTTGTTTCTTCGTTGCTTTGAAGCACAGTTTATCTGCCAATAACAACTCTTTGTTATTGTTAATAACAACTCTGTGTTATTGTTTGTCACGTGGCTTCTTTGAAAGGCGACGGGGGCCGACATAGTCTACCTTTGACCCAGTGTTGAAGTCGCACTTCAAAGAAGCTACATGACAAGCTCCACTGGGTCAGTCTACTGAGGAAGACCAGAGTGACTGGTCGAAAGCTCTAGGTCAGAGATTTTCTTTGTATTGGATAAAAACTTTTAAATGTAAACAACTCTTTAACACTTTGTTGTTGTTCTTCCACAGACCGAGCGTCCATAATCCGCATCTCCGACTCGCAGGAGGCCCAGCTGAAGGACCGCGTGACGTTAGAGTGCATCGCTGACGGCGACCCCGCTCCCAACGTCACCTGGAGCAAAGATGGCGTCCGGCTGGCCTCCAGGACGCACGCGCTGTCAGGTGACGTCAGGTCAGGCACGGTGACCCTGGGCAGCCTGACGGTTAACGACACGGGCACGTACCTGTGCACGGCGTCTAACGGTGTGGGGGAGGCGCACACTAAAACTACTCACCTCGCTGTTACCGGCAGGACAGGTAGGGAGGGGCCATGTTTTTTTAGTTTATTTATTTTCTATCACCTGACGGTCAATGACACGGGCACGTACCTGTGTACGGCTTCTAACGGTGTGGGGGAGGCGCACACTAAAACTACTCACCTAGCAGTGACAGGCAGGACAGGTAGGGAGGGGGGTCATTTCTTATCAGCATTACACAAAGGACAGGGGCAATATGATTCAGACTCAAGGTACAACTGATTTTGTTACGCCACATGCAAAACGACAATATTCAAGTGATTTGTAGCACCCTTCCGTTATGCAATGTTGTAATTGACAAATAACTAATTGCGAGGAAGTAATGAGTATGAAAAAGTTGACCAAGCACTCAAGGGATTCAAACACGCCACTAAAAGCGAATGTGTCCCAATCCTTTAATCATAAGCTAACCTTCTAGCTACCTGCCTAATACGCCTGTATCCAATACAGATGAGTGTCAAAAGATTATTTCCTTAACAAGACAGCTGAATTCTATAGTTCAGCTATCCTCCCACTGCCGATATAGACATTTCTAGGCGATAAATTAGGCCATCATATTTTGCGTTCAATCTAAGCAATTTGGCATACATATTTTTTGTGCTGGTTAAAAAAAGCACAACCGTTTCCCGCAGCGTTCTTCTCATATACGTGAGTAACAAATTGAAAAATAACGAGGTGTTTTATTTCTTTTATTGTTGCGCGTTTTACGACGACGCTACTCTTTCCATCCAGTCCGGGCCAAATTAAATCAAACTTCACGACGTGTTTTATAGCCAATCACTCACAATTATTCAAAAGTAGCTGTAGCTGACTCTGTCCTTGACACGAGTGTATAAACTATCGTTCCCCTATAATACCGCGGGATTGTAAAATTAAGTCAACTGCGGTAAATTATATTACTCCTGACTTATAGCATCCTGGCGCCGGGCTTCAGACATACATAACAAGTTTCTGTCGCGGTGAAGCTAAAAATATCGCCAGATGGCGCCTCAGGGTCCTGGGAGAAAGACGGTCGTCACGCGGAGAATAGCTAGCCTGGTATCCAGTCTTACGTGGTAGGGTCGGGTTTTTCTCGGGGCTGTAGGAGCTCTTCCCCGCCCGCCTCAGCTAGGTTTCCCGGTGTGTATTTCACAATGGGGGCTTGATTAGCCCTACAAACATAATCCCTAAGCATACCACTGTTATTAGCGTAATATCCTACCGGGTCGGCTTGTTTCACTGGGCGGGAGAAGCTATTAGAGCCCCGAAGACACAGCCTGTCTGAATACCCCAACAGCCCCAATCACGTAAGAGTAAGACTGTATACTAGGCTACGCTGAGGAGGGCGACAACAGCGTCTTGCGGCAGCCGGCAGCGGCAGACAGGCGCTATCTTGTCTCAGTCGTCTTCGTGTGCACATCCCAGCGCGGGCTGGTGACTATGTGTACGTGACCTAGTAATGGTTGTGATGTACCGGTACCTAGTACGGTTAAAGCCTGTGTCACACATTGGCATTGCCGAATATGGCTTCCTGAACACTGCCGAACCCTCCCAACCATGGATGAGAGTAGGTCGGGAACAAGGTGAGCTGTGGTTGGCCTCTATCTTGTCTCACTGAGGAGGACGACATATGCGTCTTGCGGCAGCGGCAGACAGGCGCTATCTTGTCTCAGTCGTCTTCTTGTGCACATCCCAGCGCGGGCTGGTGACTATGTGTACGTGATGTACCTAGTGTGGTTGACGCCAGCGTCACACATAGCCAAATACAGCAAATTAGCGGGGTCGTGTGGCGTAACGACAAAGCGTTCGACTCGGAACTAAGAGGTTCCGAGTTCGAATCCTGCCTGCCTGCCAGACTTGGAATTACGAATTTTATACCTAACCTTCAAAATCTGAAACATCTGGTTAGGGACTACCATACATTGTACCATGTATTTTACGAGCAATAAAGTACAGTCATTTATATATTCATTTATTTATTCATTCATATCAATTGTAATAATGTCATAATTGTATCTGTGTCCTCCAGAACGTCGCCGTGGCATGAACTCGGCCAGTTTCGCCATCATAGTGGGCGCTGTTGCCGGTGGGCTGTGGCTGGTCTTCACGCTGGGGCTGGCCGTCTACTTCGGCAGGAAGAGGAGGGAGAAGGAGAAGAAGAAAAAATACGCCTTCTACTACAACATGGGCAAGCACGAGGCGCCCACTTTGGAACTGCCTGGTTGGTGAACTTGCCACGCTTTTTTCTTAAGAAATAATGACGATAGATACTACAATGTAAAGAGATGAAGTTATATGAAGTCATAGTTATTAACTTTTGCAACTTTTTTCTTACTTTTTTTTTGGTTGCCAGCTGGGAACCGCTACAATAATACAATGCTTCCTGAAGTACCAAGAACTTTCGCTAGAGGTCATGAATAGGTATTCTCTAGCTCTCAAATCATGTGAAAGGCTATATGCAGTATAGTCTATTGCAGTACCAACAGTTCCCGGTAGAGGGCAGTACTACTGCACTTGATACGGTAATTCATCGGCTACCTTAAATGTAATGCTTACCCAGGCGATCTTCAATGTTTTGAAAATAAAATAACAACGTAACAACGAAACAACGTAAATTGTGTTGAAGTATTTTGTATATAGATCAAAGCCTTATCTTATGTCTATGTATTTGTTTTGTTTATGCTAAATTATAGAGAAGTCCCTGAAGCCGAGTGCAGCTTATGCTGGGATCGAGACAATGAGAAGAACAGCGAGGCAACGAGGTAGGGTACACATGCTATAAGCCATTATATCATGGGATAAGATGTAAGAAATACATAATTGTTATCATGATCAGCTACTCCAGACAACTAGTTGCCGACTGACATTGGTTAAATACATGACAAACCCGTCCAAAGAATTTTGAAACTCCAACAATTTGATAGATTGATATTCCCTGCGCTGCACTGACGGTACCAACAGTTCCCAACAGAGGCCGCTGTCACCCAGGCGCAATGATGTAATATGTTGATGTTTGCTTATCAAGCACGGGCCATTGTCAGACCTTGCAATGGGCACAACATATTCACAGTATGTAGATAGTGTTCTGAAAAGCAGCTTTCCATGTACATAAAAATGCACCATGGCAGTTATTCTATGATAGTGGCATGGCAGGACTTTTTACAGCAAACTTCAAGACCTGCATGAGACGTGAGCTTTGGCGGCCAACATTGCGGAATGTGTTCCAATCTTGGCGCCAAAGCTCTTGAGGAATTATTGCAATCTACTAGTAATCGCTAGGGGGTGTTATTCACACGTCTCTTTTAGTTAGTTAAAGGTTATCGGGTCTGGATTTTATGAAATGATACTACAATGTAAATTAATTAAGTTATACGAAGTTATATGAAGTTATAGTTATTAACTTTTTTCTTACTTTTTTGGTTGCCAGCTGGTAAGCGCTACGCACGCGCACTGTACCCCTTCATGCCGACTGAGGAGAACGAGTTGGCTCTTGAAGTGGATGACGTCATCGAGGTGCTGGAGGGGGAAGATGGCGGCTGGTGTCTGGGGTTCTTACGGGGCAGGATAGGCCTGTTCCCCTCCAACTACGTCAAGTTTCTCTCAGCATCAGAAGGTAAAATATAATTAGATCATTAAGAAAATTAAACTGTTCTCCACCTCAATAAACGAAATCAACTCTCCAGAAATTTTCTACTGAATCACTAGCTCAACCTTGGGTCATCAGCTTTATGACCCAAGTGCTGTGGACACGTGACTTTTATCCACGTGTGACGTCAACACTGGGTAAAAGTTCGTCGCAAGTCGGTACCGCCCCCCGTCACGGTTAAGCGAAGGTTGGTGAATCTTAGGACACCCAATTAGCTCGCAACAGTGTAACTCCACTATTAACGTTGTAGTTTCCACATTACGGATGTATATCAAGTTCCGGCTGTCCTAGTGAGGTCGCTTTGATGAGTGATAGAACACAGCCCATGAACCGACCGCGTTTTACAAACGTAAATCTTGATCAAGCGCGTTGCATGACTCGCATTTCCTCAAGAACAGGTCCCTGACCTTCAAGACTAGGGTGGTATAAGGTCAAGGTGAAGATTCCCGGCAGTTTCTAATGTTAAGGCATTCATAACATAGTTTCCTCAACTCATCAATCTACTGTAAATGTATATACATGTTATGCGTTCGCAAGATTCTTAACTTCGCGATATTCACGTAGACATCACGAAGTCATCAACTGACAAACCACGTACCCTACATAATTTATGCACACTCAAGATTCATTTTACTTACAAGACGGATGAAACTAGCATTCCTTAAATGAATGAGACGCCGGTTCTCTAATCAGTTCCATATGAAGACATTTCCACACGAGGTACAGACACTACCCGAGGTCCCCTCCGTGATTGGGTGTGTCTTCTGTATAAGGCCATGTTGATTTGATTATATGGATGACATCCTCTGGGAACCACAAAACTGACGCGAGCGTGCGAATGAAAAAAAGTTGAAGAAATGACTAAACACTACACAGAGTCTGGTATGGGGAATAACAATAGACTCTTTATTTTCATTTCTTCACATCTTTTTCTTTTCCTGAATTGATTTCGGTATTCTATGACATTAGTATTGTTTTCCAATAGTTTTTTTTTTTGCAACATACGACATATATTCGCTCATTTTGTACGATTTACAGTATAGTTGAATTTTTTTTTGAAACGCACGAAAATTCATGCGCGCGCGGATGTCATACATATAATCAAATCCACATGGCCTAATAAAGGTAACCCCGACCTGCTGTCAGCCTGACAGGGATTTATGGACCAGCGGCGGGAGAACGGCCTTTGCCTGGCCGTGATGCAGGGTTGTTCCGGCAAAACATCCATCTTCATCCTGACCCCGACTCCGGTCTATATTTCCTTCCCGATTATAATCCATTACACTTGTGGACGATCATTCCTCAGTTCTAGCCTTCAGCTACAGCGAGACACATATCTAGCATAGTAGAATAGAAACAGTAAAGACAAATGCCAGAATGCATACAATTTGACTTCAAAGTTCATCTCACATCTGTGTTGATAGAAGTTATTCTTAGACCAGGTTGACCTAGTGCTTACCAACACTCTGGTCTATATTTCTTTCTCGATTATAATCCATTACACTTCTGGACTATCATTTCTCAATTCTAGCCTTCAGCTACAACCGGACACATATCTAGAATAAACACGGTCTAAACATAGCAAAAATGAATATCAGAATGCATTAAGTTTGACATGAAAGTTAATCTGTGTTGGTAAAAGTTATTCTTAGACCAGGTTAACCTGTACTTACCAACACTCGGGTCTATATTTCCTTCCCGACTATAACCCATTAAAATTGTGGACGATCATTTCTCAGTCCTAGCCTTCAGCTACAGCGAGACACATATCTAGCATAGTAGAATAGACACGGTCTAAACATGGTAAATATGAATATCAGAATGCATAATGTTTGACTTGAAAGCTCATCTGTGTTGGTAGAAGTTATTCAGAATCCAGGTTGACCTGTATTTTCCAATGCAAAAGCGAACATACCCAAATTTTCAAAGACTGAAGTTGGTACGTCGAAGAGCAATTTTTCGTATTGGCAACCTTGATATTGATTCAAATATGGAGATTACATTGACATTATGCAATCGTTTCTAACGAACTATGCCAGGTCTTATTAATTTCAAAGCACTTCATTTGCAGCTTCCTTAGTATATGGATGGAACTTGTCAAATCCAAACTTGTTCAAATATTGTACGTCAGGAAACAATCACAATAATTTCTGGTTAAAGAATTACCTTGCCAAAGCAATGTACGAGTTACATACTGAAGTATGTTATAAAGTATCGATCCGTGTATAAGCAAAGCACGATAAAAGATTTCCTCCCTGAACCCGCCCACCCACCAGTCCAGAACAATCTCATCATCTACACTTCTGTACACAATTACTTTGTCGTCCCATTTATAATTGTTAAACACGACCTTCATTGCTCATGTTTTATGGTTGCTCAGCACTTTCTTTCCGCGTCAAGGACACACTGACAAATTCGTCTGCCTATAAAATCAACTCTGTTGTGAAATTTATCGACAAGTTCGGGCGGCGTGGCGTCAGGCCCGAAGCGGTGCGTCCGCCGAGACTGCACCGTGTCTTCTTACTTCATCTCACACCCAGAATATCTTTCTTCTCTCAAGACCAAAATTCTTGTTAGTAATACCTAGAAATAGATTCTAGTGTAGTGTAAGATTCATGTTCTTACACTACACTAAAAGAAGAACCTTATTCTTTGAACAAGAATCCACGTTTCCAGAAAATTCAAGAAGCCCACGCCACGTTGTTCTTATTATCAGAATTTTTTCCTTATAGCTAATAAACCAATACTTAAGAATATTGCTCATGGAAAAAATTACAGGTTTTTACACGAAGAATTGCTTGCTCACAATCTTGTTCACAAGAAAATATTTCTTAACACAAGAATCGACAAGTTTGCTTGGCGTGGCGTCAGGCCCGGAGCGGTGCGTCCGCCGAGACTCCGCCGTGTCTTCCCGCCGGCTGGAGCGGGGAAACTCCGCTGACTGACGGGGCGCGGGACGGAGACGGGCTGTCTGGCCGGAACGGCTTAATCAATTGTTTGGCAGTCACAACCATCTTAGAAAGATTACAAGTTTCCTTTCTTCAGAAATAACGTCTTAATCAATTGTTTGGCAGCCGGAACCGTCTTGGAAAGATACAAATTTCCCTTCTTCAGACAAATTACAAACTCCCTTTCTTTTTCTTCAGACAGAACGTCTTAATCAATTGCTTGGCAGTCAAAACCGTCTTGGAAAGATTACAAGTTTCCTTCCCTCAGACAGAAGAATCTAAGACAGCCGAGAGAGCGAGGTTCTTCAACGCGCAATTTGTACCGTAATTATCTTTTGACAATTGTTTGGCAGTCCAGCCGTCTTCCAAAGATACAAGTTTCTTGTCTTCAGACAGATTACAAGTTCCCTTTCTTCTTACCGGAACGTCTTTATCAATTGTTTGGCAGTCGGAACCGTCTTGGAAAGATTACAAGTTTCCTTTCTTCAGACATACCACTTCCATACCAAGAGAGCAAGGCTCTTTAACGCGCTTGAAATGATCTCTGTGCAATTTGTAAACGTAATTATCTTTTGTAAATTGTTTGGCATTCGCAAGCGTCTTGCAAAGATACAAGTTTCCTGTCTTCAGACAGATTACCATTTCCCTATCTTTGGACAGAACGCCTTAATTGTTTGGCAGTCAAGCCATCTTACAAAGATAACAAGTTTCCTTTCTTCAGACAGAGCAATGCCCGGTCACTTCGTTGCAGGCCGTCATATGATTTTTAAGCCGTAGAATTTTTAAAGAGCTTGTTGCTCTAATCGCTTAAAATTGGCCGTAGGTTGTTAAAACAGCAAATAAATGTTGCCTTAGCCAGAAAAATTCGCAGTTATCATAACCTGTATGACCATGATTGCACCAGTTCATGATGCTAAACATCAACAATTTATTACTTTTTCACACATATGTCGCTCTGATCACGCAAAGTTGGCCATAATTCGACCGAGGATTGTTAAAACACCAAATGCACTTGGGCACACCTCCAAAAACAATTCCGTGATAATCCAGGCCTTGAGCTAGTAAAGAGAAGATGGAACGGGATCGGAATTTGGGTCACGATCGTCCCTCCAGGGATAGGAACCTGTGATTTTTAACTTGATATGCATGACAAAACATTTTCTGTTTTATCGTTTAACTGTAGGTGCTAGTATGATGCCAGAGCTCTATAATGTTGCTTATTTTGTTGTTGGTTATACTATAGCATTTTCAATATCAACTGCAAATAGAAAATAATGTCAGGGCATGGATAACACACTACAAAATAGCAAATATATGTTTATGCCCATCATAGGAGTAATTGACTATAAGTAGAAATGTAACATTTGCAAAGAAAATGCTTTTTGTTTACCTTTGCATATGGTCTGATTTGTTAATACTTGCTCAAACACATTCAACTTGATTTATGGTGATAGGAGTCTAAATCCCTCCTGCTATAGAATTGCAACATAATGTGTAACCCAACACTAGCTATATAGTTACCATGGTAACAGATGGCTGGTTCATGTCAATGACCTTATTTTTTGGAGAAGAGAGAAGAAGGGGAAACAGGGCAAAAACAATATGCTTTCTTCTGCGGACTTCAAGGTAAACATAAGTTCCTGGAACAGCATGAAAGTTCATCTGAGTTGGTAACTTACATTATGAAAAACATTTGGGTCAGATAGCTGAGGAAGACTGAGTGATTCAGTCGAAAATTTCTTATGAGTCAAAGTTTTTCATAACATACGTTCCTGGAAGTTTAAAAATCCAAGAAGCGTTTCCAGGAATCTTACGGGAATACTCCAGATGTAAGTTTTAATGGATCCTCTCCCAGTGAGACCTCGCCACGATAAACCGACAAACTCCGCTTATAGGAGAAGTGATTCTTGCCAAGTTCTGTTGTTATTACGATCGTTAAGTAGAAGCATTTGGGAAATGAAGAGAAAAGAAATTTATGGCTGCGAAGACGTTTTCATCCCCTGTGGAGGTTTATGAGTGTTGTATTCTGTTCTCCATAGGGACGGCAGTGGAAGTGAAGTTTGAAAACATTGATAATCGATAACGTAATGGAGAAAAATGGAGCGTAATAGTAGAGTCTACGTACGCGGGAAGTCAGGAGATGGGAAGAGAAGCTTGAGTGGAAATATTAAAACAGTCGGGATTTGATCGTGTTACCGATTCCGATACATAGTGGTTAGAATATAATTGCTTTCTGTTAGGGAAGTTGTGAGTACAAACCGTATGTCATACAGCAAATACGTAACGGATGGTATATACGGCTTTATATGCACAGATCGCAGATAAAGAGTACAGCTGAACACAAGCTATCTAGCACCCTTGCTTGCACAATTGCGTTGCCCCGGGATAAAAGAAACGATTCGACATAGCCAGTGACTGCTAGCCGGTGACTGGCCGTGGGAGAAGTATGAAGTACAGTACTAAACTGTACATCGGCCAGACATCGGTTTGCATCAAGTGTAGAACAGCGCCCCCTGCCATAGCAGTTGAAATGACTGTAACTCCATTCTCATGCTTCATGTATTCAGAAAATACATAGTGACCGTTTTAGGGAGCATTTTCTGTTTTATACTAGGCCTGATATGTACACAAGATCGACATTCACTTGACACTATAGCTATTTTCAAGCTCTAAGTCTCCTAATTTAAGCTCATTATCGTATACTAGAAAAAATATGAAAAAATTATGTAATGCTCTGTCTATTCTTCTTTTTCCTTTGGGATAATTCATGTACATCTGTACAGGTTGTTCCCATTCTTTACAAAACTGCATGTTACGTTCTAACTTCCATTCCTCTTACTTCACCACAGTCCCCGATGACCTCTACCAATACGCTGGGGACGACGGGAAATTATACAGTCAGCAGCTGCAGGTTAAAGGTGACGACCGGGTAAGTTTATAGACGCCGCCTATCAAACGGCGATATTACTTCTCATTAAACATTTATGAACAGTCCGCAGTGCGGTCGTTTTGAGCTTCCGACTGATATTGTGGTTTCCTCTAGTGTGATTTTTACCAATAATACCTTTTAACAGCATATTTTAACGATATTTTATGTTGACCACAGAGCAATTCAGGCATCCAGTAATGTTGCCTGCGAGTCTGTTCTCAGAGTGTATTGTGTATGCTTGAGTTTCTAAATAAACCATTCTACTACAACTTGATATGCATGAAATTATAAAACTGTTGGCTTTTACGGACCCTTCATTTCTGTTTGATCTTTTGACTGTGCTTTAGGTGCTTTATTTCCTTCATTAGCAAACATTCTAGTACAAACAGACAAGTATGTAGCTAGTCTTCCTGGAGTTAGACATACATCAAATACAAACTACATCAAAATTGAAACAAACGCATGGGTTTACACTGTAGGTGTTAGTATGATGCTATAACTCTACAATGTTGCCTATTTTGTTGTTGCTGTTGTTTATACTTATGCATTTTCTGCAAATAGAGCATAATGGCAGACGATAACCCACCAATACAAAATAGTAAACATATATAATGCTTCTGCCCACTATATAAGGAGTAAGCAGTCAAATTTCTAGGAACAAGTTCAAGGAAACATTTCCAGGAAAATAAATGTTCCTGCCATGAGCGCAGCTCATAACTAATCATTTGTCCACCTTATCTACAAATAACCTGTCCGCCATACTTCTCCTTGTAGGCTGAAACAAATGAGAACTAAATACTTTGAGCAATGTTTTGCAATAAAGATCTTATCAAGTTGTACCAAAGCCTTCAATTTTGCAATAAACTTTATCTGATGTCAAGTCATGAAGCATCCCGCCGCAGTAAATCTGGGAGAGTTTTGAAGGTCGCGCGCCGTGAATCTGTTTCATAAATGTTTATGTATCAAATCAGTCTGGTACATAAACCTTTATGTACTAAAACTGCAGTGATCAGTTAGCAGTGGGAGTAATAGGAACCTCTAAAGTCACTCTCCTGATCAGGCTAGAAATTGCCGCCCGACTGGTGCTTGGTTGTGTGGCTTAACGGCAGAGTCCTCGGCTCGGAACCAAGAGGTCCCGGGTTCGAACCCTGCCATGTCACCAATCTTGTGCCTTATAGGAAAGACACTTTACACGACTTGGATAGAGGCCTGGCGAACCTCATCTCATATTAGGCGCAAAAAGGCAACAGAATCTTCAGCTAGTTTAAGGCGGTTGCCTCAAAATGAAAGAAGACTGGTGCTTGGTCGTGGTGACGAGTAATAATAAAATAAAGAATCTGTAAGTAGGGAGTATTGTTTAGGGTGGCTAACCTTCGGGTTTGTTTGTCTGGGCAGCGTACGTGGGTTGACAGCACGTGGGTGGGAAAGATTGACAGGCAGAATATAGCTCAAAAGTCAGACACAGGAAATGGGGTGATCATGAAGGTCACGAAGACTCAAAACCCCTCCCGGATTTCTTGTTCGGTCCTTCTTGAGGACAATTGTATTGCATATTCAGGCCTGAACAGAAACAACAATTACTGTGTTTCAAAAAGTGAGAAAGTGGCTAAAAACAAATAGATAAAGCATAACTAAAGAGATGTTTAATGTGCTTTATCCGTAACATAACAATATCGTACAAGACATGCAATGCAGTAACTTAATCAAATTCACAGAATGTACACAGAAAGTGCATGTGTATCAGAGCATGACATTAAATGTGAAAATCTAAAAGATGTGCCATCTCATGAATATTGAAACCATGCTTTTCATTAGCACATGTACTGAACTTTCTATACAAACTACAAGCGATGGCTTTATTTAGAGAAATTTAGGGGAAAGATTGTTCAAAAAGTAGCTTATTCATAAACCTTAATACCTGATTACCTTGCACATGCACAATTCTTATAATAGAGATGACAAAAAAAGACGGACAGATACAGACAACTCTACTTGTAATTCCCTAAAATGTACGTTTCTGTGATTAGCTCATGGCAAAAACAGAATAAGGGCGTGCCTAAACTATAAAAACCTCCATTATCAGGACTAAGACACTTATTATGATGTCTCTAAGACTTCAATTTGAACTAGTCTTTAAATCTGAGAGCGACCTCAAATATGAGATACGACGTAAATGCACATTAAGTTTTACGACTGGCGCACCATTAAATGGCCCAGTTTTTATGCACCCATGTTCATAAGCGCTAGATGTATAACTTGTAGACTTGTTATGGTCCCCAACAGATGCATATTCCCTCTCTGCATGCAGACTTGAAGCGTTTTTAGCCATTTAGTATTTGCTGCTCAATTACTAAAGATCCAGACAAAGTGCTTTGTCTTCTCCAAGGATCACTGCACAGCCTCCGCCATAACTCAACGTCTTCCAGAATCGAACGTTCCGCTATCATCTACATATGGAGGCAGACCGCTCTAATGGAAATAAACCGGGGTTCACTAAATCACGCTCATTATTTTGAACGTCTAATTTGTTGCGAACC